CGCCACCGATAACCGAACATTCTGATCCCTCGCTAAGGCGGTTTCACGTAATTCCTGCCCTGCCAACTCTCCTCCCATTTGCAGTTTCTCTGGTACTCTGGTTTGTGATCCCCACAAAAAGCAGAGGTTTGCCTCCAACTCGGCCTTTTCTGCCGCCTCTACTGTTCAAATCTCCTCCTACACATCCAATCACTCCTTTCTACCTATCACAATCAGAAAGGTTCACCAAACTCTTCGTGGGTTGCATATTTGTAAACCACCCGGTCCGGACGGTATTCCATCTATTTACCTATCTTAAAGTGTGTGCCCCGGAGTTAGCCCCTGTTCTACGCCTTTTATGTTATTCACTCAATCTTTATTGTTTCCCTACTCCATGAAAAAATGCCATTATTTTCCAATCATAAAACGCGTTGGCCTTTCCGACCCCAACAACTAGCGGCTAATCACTCTCATCTGTAACTTCGAAAGTGTTTGAAGCCATTAGCTCCGACCAGCTGCATGTTTCCCCAACGCGGTTTGTTAAATGACTGTATGTATTTCACCCTCGTCGATCTGCGGGTGACTAACTGGCGCTCACACCATATCCCTGGTCGACAGCACTCAATAACCAGAGATACTCATGTGGTCTCGCTCGAAATTTCAAAGACCTTCAACCGCGTTTGGCATGAAGGTCTGTCGTCGAAATTACCCACGTTCGGACTCTACCCGTCTCGTCCATCTCGTTCTCAGGCGGGCAGTCACCCTTATCAGGTGTGTCCCCGGATGTCGGACTTCTATCTTGCAATCTTCTTTCTCCCCGAGGACTGGAATTTTTAAACACTTTCTATTTCTGTTTCTCCAAGCTCTTATAACATTATCCTTTTTCAAAAGTAGGAATACCAAATTGATCCTTACTTGAATGTTTCCCCACATACCTCACCCTTACAGTATGTCGTTGATCATTGGGTTTACCCCTTTCTCTGTAAATCATTTCGTGTGCAATACAAAAGACAGAGACAGTGGCTGTACGAAAAGAATGTCGGTACTCCAAGAGTTTGGCGAAGAGTGAAGATGTGGTCGACAACCTCGATCAGGTCTAAGGCCAGCCTGGTTCTCACGCGTGCACCACGTGCAGGAGACAACCGACGGGGTATGATGCCAGCGAGAATTTTGGGGACGATGTTAATTAAACTAATCCCTGTGTGGTTTCCACCGGAGCAAGTGGTCGATTTTTACGTTGGTTGGAGTATCTGTTGAGCATTATCGTACAGCGAGCTATAGTAAAACGAACTTCGCTGAGCGCTGTCGAGCCGACATTGTACACAAATTAAGTGATAAAGTACAGGGTGGAGCAGGACTGGGCCTAGTTGAAGGGCGGGATATAAAGTGAACCGCTATGGCCAACACGTAGCACACGACCTAACCGTGCATACATACCTCCACAAACATTCTGACTCGATTAGAAATCACAAAGCCACTGCTGCTGTTCGCTACCATATCCTTCAGTGTCTCCAACCCCAAACCCGGGAGACACCATTTCTACCTAATCGCTGTGCATTTCTTCATGCCTCGTTTAGACGTCACTTGTGTTCCTCATATTACCGGATAGGTTGCCACGCCGCGTAACATTTGCTGAGGCATATAGTGGGTGGAACGCCATGGGTGGCCAAGACGCCCTGGTACAAGGGTATGAAAACCATAGCTAGACTCGGTCACAAAGGTCACGTTGGGCTCTAGAGATCATGGTAACCGGTGTCAGACACTGATTGATGGCTGAGTCGTAGGCATGGGCGTTCGAGTATCTTGTCGATTTCCTTACAGCCTTTTTTACCGGAAATTCTAAACGTTCTGGACTAGACTTTCAACTTTCCTTTCTAGTACTGATTCATACAAACAGGGAGCCATAAGACAGCAACTAATGCCGGCGCACAAGAGCGCACGGTTATCGGTTGTACAAACTGAACGCTGTAAACAGTGTCTTCAAATCTCATCCGAAGCGACCAACATAATACCTTGTATACAGCCTTCCAAACTTCCTCGGCTTCCATACGTACGCTGTATGTCGAATACAACCCAACGTTTTGGCCTCCCTCGTTCCGGTTTCCCGCATATCACGCATTGCAACCAGTGGTTATCATTCTAGCTCCGATACAGTCGTTCATCACGCAACTATCAAGCACGGGGAGCAGTACAATTCAGTTAATTTCTGATCATCCAGTTTCAGAACGGGACTTAGCGACATACAGTACCATAGCATAGCACATCGGGATAGCAGAGCGCGCTAGCCCACCAAGTACGTTTACTGCATCCTCCATTAATCCGAATACGCAAGTGAAATCACCAGCGTTCCATAATTTGCAGCTTTTTAGCTGTCCATTACACTACAGAGACCACTTAGTGCGCTCCCTAGCGTTTAGTCCACGAATAGGAGTTGGAACACCGAAATAGGGCACTGCTGACGGTGGTGAGCGATCTATCTGGCTTGCTCTAACCGAAAAGAAGTGTGCGGACACAGCGATCCCTCCATGTTCACATACTCCTGTAATCAACCTTCTCGAAGCAGCACATCCGTTGAAGCCTAAAGTTCAACCGAATCACTTGGAGCCAAGGAACGCTGCATTGCTGGTCGACGGGGTAGCATAGGACGCGAGGATTGTGTCGACGCAACCGCGACTGTCTGTTTTCTTATCGCGTACCAGTCCACAGATGTCAACAATTTTGTGATCGAAACTTCTACAGTGGCCTGCGCAGTCGATGCGTGATCCACTGTCGAAGATTAGAATGATCAACAGTTCATCCGATGGGGAGAAGCCCTTTTACGTCAGCGACAGGTGTGGCCTCGGTTGATACGCAGTATAATGCGCACACTGCGAGCGGACTTAGTGAACAGGGTGCATTGGGACCCGAGTACATACCTTGACTATTGTTAGATCTGGGTTTCGCGCCTCCGGTACGTGGAAAACAGCGAATTCTGAGCAGTCACTCGAGGTTCAGATAACCACGGTGGCCTCATAATACTTACTGGCTAATAGAAAACCAACCTTGGTAAATTATTCAACGCTTATTTACCATGTCGTGAATCACGTCAGATAGATAATTCTCTCCTACTTATGTAAACAATGTGTACGTCAACCAGTCTGACCAGATCACTCCTGTTTGGTATCTTCCTCAAAGATGCATAGAAGCATAAGGGCGCTTAAGACAAGTCGCAAATTAATGACCGATATGAATCATTTCTAGTTGCCTTGCAGGTCAATGGTGAAAATGCAACAATCCCAACAAATTCCTGAGCTACATGATATTACAAAAAGGACAAGGTATAAGTTCAGATAGCTCACTGGAGAAATCTTTAAAACTTGAACTATTCAACGGACGCGTCGCAAAGCCAATGGACCCGGGTATTTGTTTAAACACTTTCATATGGTTCTGCTTATCGATTCGGGGGGTTTCGATGAAGGCTTTACCGTGATTTTCGGATAATTAGTTACCAAGACCCATAGTCTAAGGATACCATGCACTAACATACAGGAGAATGAGGGTAATAATGACCTGCTAGTCTAACAAATGACTTGGATCGAGGACAAGCAACTTCAACGGTGTTCCTCATTTCTAACGTGCGCATGAATGCATGAGAGCAACGAATTTAATTCCATATTAGAACCGTGTCCGCCTTTTTGTTTTTCATTACGCACTTTCGTGTGATGACGGAGTGGAACTCTATAATTACGAGGGCCTGCTGTTCAGTGATGTAAACCTGTAACCTAAGCCCCAGGACTAGGAGTGGTAAACCACATGAGGCCCTGATAGGCTGGGTGTGGTACTGAACCAGACGACAGCAGAGCTGCCTACCACCAAAGTCGGGTAGCGGTGGTGATGCTTGAATCTCGGACTATGGGTCTGAAGCACGCCGGTGACAGCGACTAAATCACTGCGCCACCACCACCCACTGGACTACAACGGTTACGCAAGGAAAACCAACACCACGATTAAGCTCTGAGTGGCGTCCAATGGCTCAAGTTAAAACTCACATCACACCATGACATCCCAGAACGCTTTTAGTCTCAACGATCCGTCAGGAAGACCTGTTCCGAGCATTAAAGCTGTAAACAAATAAAGGCCTAATGAAATTTGGATGGCGTAAAATTCGGTCGACACAATTCTTAGACTGAGTAAAGTCATGAAATTATGTACGATACCACCAATAGCTAAGTGTTGACAAAAAAGGCCAGATATCACAAACCAAGTTTATCATATACAGGGGCACACCAATCAGAACCGCAGTTTGTGGAAGAACCAAGGGTTTTCGTTGGACTTGTACCTGCAACAAGTGATAAAAAGCAAACAAGTCATACCTTTGTTGAAGCTTCATCTTTGCTTCTAATCTGGCCTTACGACGGAGACCCTTGTCCATTAGCGCGTTCTTGTTTATGAGCTTCGTGTCAAACATGATATTCACGGAGTGACGGGTGGGCATCAAGTGGTTGTAGTTATAAATCTTGACAAAAGGCTTTATCTTCGAGCGGCTTTCCATGCGTCTTTTACCCATCCGACGAACCAAACGTCTCGGGTATCGGTCGATGCCCACGACAAGCGCATGACCGTAAGGCTTTTCCTTGGAGCCATCATCATAACTCTTAATAACAATAGCCTTGCGTCCAGCGTAACGTCCACCTAGGACCAGTACTACAACGCCGGGGCGCATCAAGCGCACTGCAGTTCTAAGAGATACATTAATATAAGAATTACACAGAATTACCTAGCTTCACGCGACATCCCGATCCCGCGTAATGTGCGCAGCCCACTAAAACAATCAAGGTCAGTTCAGTTCAGTTCAGTATGCACAGGACGAAATGTGGCTTCCAGCCAGTCAAGCGTCCAGATTGTTATATTGTTGGTGGTGTTTTCAGCCTCCAACACTGCGTAATGCCGATTCCAGCGATCCATCATTGCTGGGTCTACTTGCCTCAGTCCTCAGTATACGTTCCCAGCTGGGGCGTTTATGAAAAATAAACAGATGAGACTGAGCGGTCTAAGCCTGGGCCAAGCTGCCATAGGTTCATTTCAGTTTTCACAGGACAGAAAATGGCCACGGCCAATCGAGCATCCAGAATTCCTTCGGTGGTATGCGGTCAAGTATGGCACCCACCACTGCGAAAAGTAGTCCACAAAACAGTCCACACATGCCAACGATTCTGCCAGTCCATGTCTTGCAGCACTGCCACACACTAACGATAGCTTGCTTTTCACACTCGTTTCTGGATCGAAATCTTTTGTTTGCTTTCCCGCGGGGTCTGCTGTAGTGACCATGATTGCACGAAGAAACGGAGCAATCCACGAGGACGTTTTCCGGTCATACTTTCCTCAGAATCAACTATGAATCCAACTGTGATATTTCTTTGTTTTACTTTTGATTGTTTTACCGAGCACGGTTTTCCGCTCAGGTGGATATTTAAGCTGGGTCCTGTTCAAACCAAAGCAACACGTGTGACACGCTTTCGCTTTGCTACTGCATTTATTGCTTGCATTGTTTAGCGTCACCTCGGCACATTTCGGTACTATCTAGAAGTACGATTCGCCAATAAACGTTTACGACTCCTACGAGTGTTTTTGTCTACCCCGGGCAACGAGACTCTAGGAGGTCGCGCGCATTTTGAGACTCGTAAGAAGACTTACCGGCAGGCTGTCAAACCGGTTAGCTTCACTGGTGAGCCCTCACCGTCTACTTTGTAAGTCAAATCCAATTTGGTTTGCACTTTTTCCTCACGGTTCATTTTCATTTGCACGATATAATTATTTATCGCATTTGTAGGATGACCGAGGAGCGTAAACCAGTAGAAGATAGGGAACTGGACCTATTAGCTATTAGTTGTAAGCCCTGTATCTTTTATCCCTCAAAANCAACGTCCGCCATTAGGGATATTATTCTTAAACCGCCGAAGAAGAACGCGTACGACGTTCTGAAGGCTGCTATCCTTCAGTTCTATACCCCCTCTAACGAGGAAAGGTTACGCCAGTTGCTGGCTCGTCACCCGATCGGTGACACGACGCCAAGCAGGCATCTGGCGCGTCTGCGCACTTTAGCCTGCCTAGCAAACGCCCACTCTGACATCGTCAGAGAGCTGTGGCTCGAGTCGTTGCCACGTTACGTCCAACGCCGATAACGACTCTGCTGGAGGACTCCTCAGTAGACAAAGCTGCATCAATTGCCGATAAGATAGTTGCACGTGTCGGTAATAAGGATAATTTCTTCGTTACCGCGACATCTCAATCGTATAGGGGAACAGGGATA